TCATTGTTACTATAGAAGAATCCAACTAATTTTTGTATGTTGATCTTATACCCTGCCACTTTGCTGAATCGTCTTCCATTGAGGTCTAGTAGCTTTTTTATTGAGCCTTTGGGGTTTTCTATGTATAGAATCATATCGTCTGCAAATAAAGAGAATTTTTCTTCCTCTTTGCCAATTTGGATGCCTTTAATTTCCCTATCTTGTCATGTAGCTCTGGCTAAGACTTCAGGTATGTGGTTTTGTACTCATTTATAAGGACCCCACACATACTACACATGAACATACCTGCATATATTACTATATTATTTTATTTAATCCTTACAAACTCTAAGAAGAACTTCTGGTGCTCTGCTGTAGGATTATCAATGGACTTCGAACAATAAGGTTGGCATTTCAAACCCACCAGTTGCTCCTTGGAAATCCTATACAGTGTCGCTATGAGTTGGAACTGACTTGATGGCACTCAACAACAACAACAACTCTAAGAAGGGAGTCCTAGCATGGTGCTGTAGGATAAGTGCTGGACTAATAACCACACAATTGGTGGTTCAAACCCACCAACCACTCCTTGGAAACTCTAAAAAGGGTCGCTATGACTTGGAATGGACTTGACGGTACCTAATAACAGCAACAACCCTAAGAAGGAGTCCTGGTGTGGCACTGTGGTGTCAGCACTGGACTGCAAATCACAAGGCTGGAGATTCAAACCCACCAGCCACTCCTTAGAAACCCTATACAGGGTTACTCTTAGTCAGACTGACTAGTCGGCACTTAACAACAACAACCCTAAGAAATTTGTGTAATTTTAATAGTATGAAAGCCAAGACAAAAAAGAGGTTAAGTAACTTGTTGATTAAATGCCAAAATTGGTATTTGAAACCAGGCCTGTTTGACTTTAAGGTATTGTTTATTCTTTGCCTGTTAGCTATACTGAAAGAAATAATAAAAACAGTAAAATCAACAACAAAAGGACTATGAGTGGGATATGAAGAAATAACAGATAGCCAAACTATGACAATTATGCAATAACTTTAATTGTTGTTGCTACATGCTGTTGAATCAGTTCTGACTCACAGTGACCCTATATAGGGTTTCCAAGGAGTGGCTGGTGAGCTTGAACTGCCTACCTTGCAGTTTTCAAACTGACCTTGCAGTCCAGTACATTAACCTGCAGTGCCATACCAGGGCTCCAATCACTTTAATTAGACATTTTGATATTAGAAATCTTAACTGATAGTAAAAGGAAGAACTGAGTAATCTGAAATCCTTTTCAGCACCTATTTTTCTAACCTTTTATTTGAATTGATTTAATTTTTTATTTTGAGTTTTATTTCTATCATTTTGTTTAACATACAGCAATAAACATTTATAGTTTTTTAAACTGGAAAAAAGTAATTTAGACTCATCATTTAGAAAATGATGTATTAGTTTCCTAGGCCTGTCTTAATAATTAACACCAACTGAGTAACTTAAAACACCAGAAATGTATTTTCTCACGGTTTGGGAGGTTAACTGTCTGAAGCAAGAGTCATGCAGAGCTCTAGGGAAGAATCCTTCCTTGAATCTTCCTAGCTTCTGATGGCTTCCAGCAATTGTTGGTGTTCTCTGGCTTGTAGCTGGTTCATTCTGATTTGTGCCGCCATCTTCACAGGGCTACTTTTCTGTGTGTGCCTCCATTGTGCCCTCTCCTTTTCTTGTAAGAACGCCAGTCATAGGATTAGGGCCCACCTTGATCCAGTATGATCTTCATTTTAGCTAATTATATCTGCAAAGACCCTGTTTCCAAATAAGGTCACATTCTGAGATTCTCAGTGGGCACAAATTTCTGGATGACACTATCCAACCTACTACAATGATATTCTGTTGCTAGCAGACATTAGTTAAAGTACCTCAAAAATAATGCTTCTTTGAAAATAATTCTAATTCATAATGGCAGTCTAATTCAAAAGGAAGAAAATTTCTGTAGATAACTTAATTGAGTTGTTTCACTACTTTTCACCTTTCAAAAATGTTTTAAAGATAATCGCATCCTTACCTGCTTTGTCTTTTCCTGGGTTTGTGTTGCTCTCTGTCCAAGACTGAGAATCAGTAAGAAGATGGCTCTGGGACTCTCTCAATGGTTTTGCAGGAAATTGGTGATTTTCAGGACTGTATAATAATAATAGTAATAATAACAAAAATAAGTTAACTCTTGATAGTATTATTGAGTGTTTCCCAAAGTACAGAACTCAAAACTATTTGTGATGCAAGATGATTATCGGAGGTGCCCAAGATAATTCAGGGCATACAGGGAGAAAGTATGAGCTATGATATGACTCACAATGTGAAAATATTATTTTGCTTCAGTTCACTTTCTACTCCTCTGATTGCAATAAGAATATGACTCTGATCAATTTCCATTTCTAATACAAAATACATTTCAGATGTGGACTTGAAGAAGTAATGGAATCTAGTTAGAACTTAGTAAGGGTACTTTATTATCAATTTTATTTTTCACTTGTATTCTGTTTATGTCAAATTATACTGGTTTCATATTTATAAAAGGAAGCAAAGTTTTGTTTAAAAATAAATTTAGATGCCAATTAAAAGTGGTATGTGGGTATGGGAAAAATATGAAGATGGTAGTAGAAAACCAAGTTTCAGAAAAACTAGTCAGTGTTTCTAAAATGGCTTAACTGGTTTTGAACAAAGAATTCTCTATTTTCATCTAAGAAACTGAAAGAACAGACTTGAATATTATTTTGTAGAAATGCTGAAAAGATTTGATGTTAGCTAGTTTTATAAATCTAATGTTCAATTTGGGAGCCATGGAGCTTTGAAAGATAAATTTCTTTAAAATCTATGTTTTAACATTAAGACATACATGCCACATGCTCGACGGTATAACAAAATATACAAAAGTTAAAATAAAATTTCACTTGTAATAAAGATAGGAAAATTATTGTCATAGAAACTACTAGTATATTTTTAGAATACCTTAAATAGCAATTATAATAGTGTTCAGAGAAGAATAAACAAGATAGCAGATCAGATGGAAGTGCAGCGAAGAGCTCTGTCAGCAACAACACAGAATACCGGACTAAGCAGGCTCAGGGGATGGTGCCAGAACTCTGAATCACATATAAAGGGATATTTAGAAGGTTGGAAGGCTTACAGCTAGGGGAATTGGTAGCAGAAGCAAGAAATCCATTGCTTTCTAATTCAAGGCACTCAGCGCTCTCGGAGCTGCCATCTTGGGCGAGACCAAGCGGGGGAAGGATCAGAGCAACCATGGATGCCTGACAGAACTGCAGAGATAAAGGTGTGGGTGTTCTTTTTTTTTTTTTCATATCTGTTCGTTGGTCTCTCGCTGTCTGTGCACCTCCATTCTGAGGACTAGAGGGGATGCCTGAGTGAGTGGACACCCCACCCCCACCTCTGGAGGGTTCTACTACACATATGCACAGATCTCCTCAAAATTTAAAGAGACATTTTCCACTTAAAACCAAATGTCTACAGCCAGCCCTGAACTGTGTATAACTAGAAAAAGGCCTGAATGGGGATTGTGGAGCAGGACAGGGAGACTAAAAAGGAAATAGGCCAAAAATGAAATCTTGAGTTACATCACAATGACCAACAGTGGCATCTTGAAATTTCTCAAGAAGAAGAGTGAAAAGAGAAGCCCATTTCCTGATCACATCTACCTGGAGGCAATCAGAAAGCATAAAAAATAACAAAATACACACCCATCTAAGTATTAAGGCCACAGATAACTCCTGAATATGCCCCAAAAACAGAAGCAGATGACCATATCAGCACATGTCCAGAAACGAGATAAAGTGACTGAGGCAAATGAGCTGGAGGTAGACCTACACTCCATACTGGAAGATGGGCAGGCTTTGGAAATGCCTGAGAAGGAATTCAGAAAAATTATTATAAAATGTATCATAACACTATATATATAGTGGAGTGGAGAAAAATAAGGAAGAAGTCAGGAAAGCACTATAGGAACAATCAAATAAGATAGATATAGCATTGGAAACAATTCAAAACTTACAGAAAGAGGTCCAAATGATTAATGATCGAATATCAGAAGTGGACAATACACTGAAAGGGCAATGGAGTAGAATTGAAGAGATAGAAGCCAGAACTAGTGAGCTAGAAGATAAATCTCTCAACACTACTAAGATAGAAGAGCAAGCACACAAAAAAAGGATAAAAAAATCAGAAGGAAGCCTAAGATTTATATTGGACAACATGAAGAGGAATAACTTAAGAATTATCAGCATTCTGGAACAGGAAGAATCATACAAGTCCACAGAGGAGATAGTTGAAGAGCTTCCGGAAGAAAATTTTCCTAACATCCTGAAAAGTGAAAAGACAAGCATTTAAGAAGCTCAATGAACTCCAGAAAGGATAGACAATAAAAGACAATCACCAAGACATATAATAATCAAGCTTTCCAAAATCAAAGATAAAGACAGAATCCTGAAAGCAACTAGGGAAAAGAGAAGTGTAACATACACAGGCAAGCAAATCAGATTAAGGTCAGCTCTCTCAACAGAAACCATGCAGGCAAGAAGGCAATGGGGAGACATATATAAAAAACTGCCACCCAAGAATCCTCTACCCAGCAAAGCTGTCAATCAAATACTATGGTGTAATCAAAACATTCCAGGATAAACAGAAGCTAAGGGATTTTGCCAAAGCCAACCCTGCTATGAAAAACATCTTAAAGGAAGTTCTGTGGACTGAGAACTAACAAGAACAGACAACAATTAGAGAATAACATACGTAGCAGCATCACCCTGAACTCAATTGACAAATGGAAGTGTCAAGAACAGAATAAAATTATAAGAACAGAGGATCTGGGAGGCCAGTCTATGATCAAAACAATTACAATGTGAAAGAAGGTAAACACAGAGGAACAGATATCCAGGTGGTGGGAAGGTCAGGCAGATTACAAGATAAAATAGAATGTCCTAAATGGAGGGAAGAATTAATGGAATATAAGGTAACCACAACAATGGGGTTTGGGTGGTGAGTTTAGTTCGGGTGTTGGGGAGGGTAATACAAGAAGGGAGAGGAGGAGGAAGAACAAGATAGATAGGGGAACACTGAGACAGGTTTGCATGTCCTAAAAAATAGTGATGCATGCTCAACCTTGGAACAGCAGGGCTCTAGGTTACAAGGATGTAGGTATAGCTTGAAGAGGAGAAATAATACTAAAATGCTTGACTGTCTTACAAATATTAGTTTCCCTTAACTATTATTCAACAACAACAACATTATTGTAAAATAGACACTTGAGTGGGATAGAACAGAATGTTGGGAAACACGATTAGAGAAAACTTGTAAGCCTGTCTTCAGCCTATAACTGATTGGAATACCTAAAAGGGGTTCTAGAACTTGCCCAGTAAAATAGGCCTCGTGCAAAGCCTTAACAGAGTATAGGACCTTAGGTGGAATCCTGGGTCCCATCCAGAACCTTGTGAGGTGGGACATTCCCACTAGAAAGGACAAGCAGACCAGCCTGGAACAGCTACAGTGACAGAAGATACATCTTCAAAGAAAGATCATCAGGAAAAACCCAAAACAAAAATGTAAGCATGACGAGCTACTACAAGAATAAGCAAACTGTTTGCCAGGAAGACATCAAGGCTAGCAATCAAGTTCCTTCAGGACAAACTCCCATTTAAGACTGAAAGTCAAAGGGAACACACAAACAAGCATGTAAGCTTGCTGGCGACCACACTGGTCTACTGGTGAGTGGAAGAGGGGGAAAGGCAGCAATGAAAAAATGGGCTGAGTTGAACCCCAGTCCATTGACTCCCGTTGACCTGGAGAAGAGAGAGAGAAGAGGAAGGGTTGGTTGGTCTAAAGTGTGGTGAGACCTGGGGACACCTGAGCCCATGGACAAGGACTTAGCCACAGGGGTCTAGAGCTGAGAGTGAAGCATCCAGCTGATATGAAGTGAGGGGAGATGCACAAGAACACCCAAACTTGCAGACAGGACCCATTTGACCTAGCCTCAATGGCTCGATAATCAGAACTTGACTAGAGGAAGATTACAAAAAGAAAAATTACTTACTATTTTTCCAATAGTAATTTAATATATTTTAGTTGAAATAGCTATTCTGTTTTTTAAAGGATATAGTCTTAGTGTTCAATAATTACCTCATATCTACATTTGAGAATATTCTACTTTGCGGAACTCTATGCATACTCTTACTAAAAATTTAGAGGTTATTTTAAAAACAACAATCCTGTAGCATGTCTCTGTATAGGTTTCTATTTATATGAAAATCTCTAACTCTTATAACTCCTCTGGAAAATGATTATATAAAAGGCTATTGTTGTTGTTAAGTGCTGTTGAGTCAATTCTGACCCATAACAACCTTGTATAGGGTTTCCAAGTTGCAGCTGGTGAGTTTGAACTGCTGACCTTGTAGCTCTCAAACGGCTTTGTAGTCTGGCACATTAACATACAGTGCCACACCAGGACTCCATATAACAGGTGGTGGTGGTGGTGGTTATGTGCTGTGGAGTCAGTTCTGACTCATAGCCACCCTGTACAAGGTTTCTGAGGCTGTAAATCTTTATGGGAGCAGAAAACCTCATTTTTCTCCCACGGAACATATGCACTAATTAGGTACAGTACACTAATTAGGACCAAGTTTAGGGACTTCTTGCAAATTCATCATTGTTACTAAGACTTTAACATATGATAAGGATGCATTCATTCAACAGTATTTACTGAGTACTTAACTTTTTGCTTATGCAAAGATGTACAGCCTTGGAACCCTTATACAAGGTCGCTATGAGAAGGAACTGACTTTAAGATATTTAACAACAGCCTATTTCGTCAATACATTAAGTACTGATCTCAAGGAAATTTCACTGTAATTCAGGAAGAATAATAAAAAATAAGCAAATAAGTCAGGTGACAGGAAGAATTATGATAATAAAACAGACATGGTAGAGATAAATGAAGGAACACATTACTATTTTACAGTTTTCACAGATGGCCACTGTTTTGAAGTTAACACCTAAGCAGAAACAGAATGAAGACAAGATACAGACCATTCAGATATCTGAAGGAAGTAAAGTTATGAAGAGGAAAAGATAAGCACAAAGGCACTAAATAAGGGGGCATCCTTGATATACTT